AATAAAATAAACAAGAATTGTAATTTTTATTTCCAATTAATTTGAAAATAAAAATATTTATTTAAACAAATTAATTCCACACAGAAAAATATTTCTATAACACTTCAAAAATTAAAATACTAAAAACAAAATTTTGAGTAATGAAAAATCAGAAATAATTTCTGAAAATCAAAATTAATTTCTGACAAAATTCACAAATGAATATTCTGCATTTGTTAATGACTACCAGTATATTATTACTAGTTGTCAAAAACAATTAACAGTATATTATTACTATTTTTCAAATAGTATATTGCTACTATTTGTATTTTTCAATCAAAATATTTCTTTTTAAAACCATAGAAAATACTACCCAGAAAATAATTTTTGTAAGAAGAAGAAAGAAAGAAAAGGAAACAAACGAAAAATTCTGTATAAACAGAATAATTAGAATGTGTCTTAAGATTATTGAAATAATCTCCTGTGTAAAATAAAATAAAAAACTTGAAACTAAATCAAACAAATAAAAATAAATTACTTACAGAATTATTTACCGAAATGAAAAAGTACAAAATTGATCAAGTCGAGTGTATGACACTTTGTCCTTAAGATAGATTCGCCCCGCTTCGGTGCTTATGGATAAATGACATCTATCTCCTAAGATATAATGATCTTTCCACAGATTGTAGTAGCACTCCAAACAATCTGTACGGCGAACAAAACTTGTGTTCTATACTCTCAGAAATTTTCCTAAAATAATATGTAGAATATATATGCAAAATAGCACAAAGAAGAGCAAAAGAGAATTTTCAGATTCAGAAATATGCTGGAAGAGGGTCTGCTTTTATAGAGCCGAATAAGTATGAAATTCCAACCGAACAGATATAAATTCAAACTGGAATAGATGCAAAACTGTTTGAACCCAGTTTTGACTCTGTCTGGAAAAATAGAATCTGTTTGGCGCTATTATTAACCTGTTTGAACCTGCTGGATCGCTGGAAATTAGACCAGAGGAGGAACTGTTTTGGACAAAAAATTGAATTCAAATTTGACGCAAAATTTGAATTAATTTCGTTCAGAAAAAATAATTTTCCCGCAAGAATTTTTTGAAAAAAATTCAAATAAATTTTGTCCAAAAAAATTGATATTAGAATCGACCCGACCCACAACCGCACCCGGCACGACTCAGCTCGGTCGACGGCGATGTGCGTGTGTGTGATGGTTTGAGCGAAGGCTCACTTTGTCCATAACTCATTCCTTCTATAAAATTAAAGTGCCCCTTGGGGCCCAACCTGTGAGGCCCTAACTTTTCGTAATGTCCCCGAACGCTTATAGTTGAAGAATTTCAATAAGAAATCTTGTTTCTCCATTTCTTACAAATTAAACCCTAGAAATAAAAAGCAACTGTGTGAGCTAATCAGCAAATCCTAATCAACTCTGAGAACTTAAGAAATATTTTAAAATCCTGAATTAATGATTTAGAAACCCTAGAATGAAAAATTATAAGAGAAAAACCCTAGTTTTCGGTTATCGCAATTTTAGCCCGGTATCTCGCCTTTTATTGCGAATCGGCACCACGTGGCCAGAATTATTTTTCCTATCATTATTTTATTAATTATATAACTTAAACATATGTTTTATTTCAAAATTTCTGATTGTACCATTTTCTTTCTTAATTATTGTATTTTGGCCCCAAAACCTTAATATTTTATTCAATAAAAGTACAACCAATATTTTATTAATTTATACAAAATATCCTCTATATTTTATTAACAAAAAAATAAAATTTTCACATGGGTAAATAGGGTAGCTGGCTATAGGTGGTGAAAAGGATATAGAAGTGTATTTTTTATTCATAGCAAATCTTGTACATAAATGTAACAAATCTTTGACCATCATGGAGGAATGGGGAGCATTTATTGCTATATCTTTTTTGTCTCCCAATTAACTAGTAAATAGGATTACCTTCTCTTAATCAAGATTAATTAACACAAATCTTAATTGGATCCAATTACAAACCAACCAAACTTGAATAGTTTCTATTAAAAACCAACCAAACCAAACCAACCCTTCTCTCTCCTCCTTGGCCTATAAATACAAGTCTTGCTAGCTATTGTATTTCACTCCATACACACACAAAACACAGCTGAGAGAGGAGGAAAGGGAGAGCAAGTGAGCTTGAGAGAAAAAGAGAAGAAAAGAGAGCAACAAATAGGAAAAAGATCTAAAAAACCAAGGTAAATCTCATACAACTCTCCTCTCAATGAATCGTCATGTTTTTCCCCTTCATAATACATGCTAAAAATATATTTCACATGATATTAAAAGTTACTACATTATTAGATGATGTATGGTTTGAAAATGAAATGTCCCTCTTCTTCCTTGCAATTTCCAGCAAGCTTTTCTCAAGGTTTTTGATTTTATTTCCATAGCAAACCTTCACCAACTCAAAATCAATTTTAAAGGGGTATTAACTGACATATATAGAGTATGTGAAAATTTGGCTAAGACCCTGGATGTGTTTTTATGACCCCTTTTATTTTTCTAAATACTTGCTGCAAAGAACCTGTTAAAATAGAGGACTTTGTAAAATTCTAGAAAATTATATAAAAATGGTATCACGTTAATTTTTACATCAAAATATTCCTCTGAAGGTTATCTTTCAAAAAAAATTTATTTCAATGAAAATGAATGGGTATTTTAAGAGAAACACTAAATTTTGTAACAGTTGTCAGATCTGGACAGAGTCTGTGTATTTCTTAAATATCTAAAAATCAAAAAGGGCCACCCTACATCCATAAAATGGTTCTAAAACTAGACTTGATTCTCTACAAATCCTCTAGAAGCCACATTTCTGAAACCCTTAAAAAATATTTTTTCTATATTTATTTTTGAACTGGTGCAGTGCTGGAAATCTAAACAATGTAGTTCTTGTTGTAGTTAATGCTTTTGTGATATCATGACATATTGTTGTAATATATTTTATACTTTCATGCTTGAGTTTCACATTGAATGGCCATATTTTGTTCTTACTTGTGCTAACCACTAATGTGTAATACACTTAATGTGAAAAGGGAAAAACTAAATGGGTTGGTAAAGAGGTTTAACGACCACACTATTCATACATCATAAATGATGAGAATGTTAAGTTGATATTAGTAGTGGATTAAAATGAGTAAGTCTTGCGCAACTGTTGTTCGGAACCCTTGAATAGAGCGGTTGTATTCGGACCCTAGGTAGTTCGGTGTAAGGAGGGGTTTGGGTTAGGCCCATCATTATCGTCTCTTTTGAGGCCCTCGGTTGGTGCTACGCGGTATATAATCGTTGGTAGGCATCTGAGATAAGTTCTGTAACAAAGTAGCAAAAGATGGGGCATACCGAATAATCCACGTCCAATTCTTGGAGTTGGGAATACGAAATCTCTTTGGGGGATTTCTAGACTACTAACAACTGACCATATAATCTGTGCTATGAACTTAAATGCCATGATATTTTCCTTTGTCTTTTTTGTAAATGTTGTTGTGTATTGGACTAGGAAAAATAGATGGGGTGTGTGTGCGTTTACTAGGCATTCAAAGCTCACGACGTATCATGCCAGGTGTTGAAGAGGAGCTTATAGCAGGAGACGACGAGCCGGAAACCTTTGAAGACATTTGGCTATCTTGGAAAAGTTAGAAATTTCCCTTTGGATGTTTTGTAAGACTCATATGAAAATTTAGATTTTCTTTTGGGATGTAATGTAATGGAACGAGCTTTTGTAATTAAGGATATTCATAATTATTCTGTTATTATGTACTTATATTTTAACACCAATATAACCCCTAACGTCGCTTACGAGACCTTGTGTCAATGACTCTTAAAATCTATCAAAAAAGTATTGCGCTACCTAAGAAAGCTGGACGTAGAAGGGAGGCTAATTTGACTCCTCCAGTGATCTGGGATCTTTTACTTGGTTATTGACCATAGGACTCATTAGTGACTTTCCCTTTACTACAACCAAAATTATAGATTTGGGGCGTCATAATTTGGTATCAAAGCCTAGGTTCAACTCTTAGCTCGCACAACCCAATACGCGACTCTAGAAACCCTCACTCGTTTACATTATTGTATTTTACTATCACACTATTACATTTAAAAGAGACTAATAATTAAAATCCTTTCCCTCTACCCTAGGATGTCGTCAGAAAGCCGCCCGACAACCGACATCAATCTCGACACGTGGGTAGCATTCTGCATGCAAGGCAGGAGGGCCCTATCCCTTAATACCTACTTCAGTCATTGAATGTGTGAATTCGCTGCCGAAGAGATGATCATCAAGGAGATACGAAAGGTGGAAACGGATTACTCTTATTACACGAGGAAACAAAAGAGGTCCTTGGTTTGACGACGCCTACAATACCTAAGTCACGCAACAAAGAGTGCAGTCTGAAAGGAGCAGGATGACCAAAAAATGGACTCTCTGATGCACCGAGCCTTAGCAGAACAAGCACTACACCAATTTCTAACGGAAAGTGGTGAGTCTTACTATCCTAGGCAGAACGACAATCAGCTAATGGAGGTAGAGCAACCACTAGTACAACCAGGAATAACTCCAACCTTTCCAATTGAGGTGTTATCTGAACACATCCCCCCTTCGCCGATATACACGCCCCGCTCCTCTGGCCAGGAAATCGACTCAGTTGATAAAGGCCCTGAAGAAGACTTTGATTGGTCGGGAAATGAGGGTTAATCTAGGGATAGTAAGCTAGACTTTTTGTAAGATCCACTCATATGGATCTTTAAAATGTATGTAGTAACTTTGTGACCTTGGTGTGTGTAACACTTTTGAATGAAACTATGATGGAAGCCTTTTGTACTGATGCGTAATATAATGAAATGATGACTTGTTCTATATCTATTGACTGTTACTTGTTTTAATATTCATCACACCCTAAGAAAACTATACCTTAATTTCAAATCTCATAGAAATATTACCTTTAGTTAGAAATTTAGAAGCCAACTTACCCCGTACCATGAACAGAATGGTGGATACGCGAGCTAACGACTGTTCAGAAACCAGCAACAATGCTCGAAATCGTCCCAGAAATCAGCATGGGCCCGTACCCGTGGGAGCCAGTATCCCTAATAATCTTGGGCATCAAATTCTAGAGGAATTGGGGCAACTAAGGAACAATTGGCAAAACGAGAGGACTCGACTCTTTTCGGAGTTCAGAAAACAAAGGCCCCCGAAGTTCACAGGAGTACCACACCCGAGGGTGGCTGAGAATTGGCTTCAACAGATAGAGAATATGCTAGACACTATGGGAATAACCGAAGATGTCGATAGAATAGCCTTGGCCATATTCGAGCTTGATGATGAGGCTGATCATTGGTGGGTACTAATCAAGAATACGCGTGATGTTGCCAACATGTCGTGGAACCAGTTTAAGGAATTATTCCTGAATAAATACTTTCCAAGTACAGTTCGTCAGGAGCGAGTCAGGGAATTCCAAAACCTGGAACAAGGGAATATGACCGTAACCCAATACGCTGCAAAATTTGAAGAGTTAGCCCGTTACACAACTAGATATATAGAAAATGACGAAGAGAAAGCAAGGATGTTCGAGTGGAGGTTGGACCTTACAATCAAGGGAATAGTTCTCTCGCAACGACTCCACTCATATGCCAAGGTGTTGGAGACGGCATTAGAATCTGAAAAGGATGTAGCCGACGCTAGGAAGACTTGGAACAAGCGGAAAGGCGGTCAGACATCTGTTGGACCTTAGAGGAACTAGAAAGGAAATATGGCCTCGAAACCCTACTCCAGACCACAACCACAACAGCAACGGTAACAACCGCAGCAACAGATCTAGAGAGGAGGCTATCAACCAAGGCTGGCAGGATAACTCCAATGCTTTCATTGCCAACAATTGGGGCACAAAAAGAGCGAATGCCCCCAACTCCCTCCATCCGAATACCAGGTAGAAGGTTCCGGAGCAAATGCCCAGGCATTAGGTAGACAGAAGCCTTGAACAAACAAGACAGGACCTACTGGGCAGCAGCACCAGAAGAACGGAGGAACTCAGAACCCCATAACTAGTGGCAACCAGAAGGCAATCGGTAGAGTCTTTGCCTTGCAAGAGGAAGAAGCGAACCCGTCTGTAATTGAGGGTAATTTAGTGCTACATAATTCTTGGGTGCATGCTTTATTTGATACTGGTGCATCGCATTTTTTTATATCCTCTACTTGTGCTAAGTCATTAGAACTTGTATGTGAACCCTTAAAAACTTCATTAAATGTAATGTCACCTATGGGAGGATGCGTTTGGATAGGATTGATCTGTAAAGATTGTAAAATAGGAGTGTCGAACCTATACTTAACTTGCGACTTTCGTGTCATGGAAATGTCAGACTTCGATATCATTTTGGGCATGGGCTGGTTATCTGCCCACTGAGCGGTGATCGACTGCCATCAAAGGAAAGTAGTAGCTCACATGCCTGACAGAACACGTTTCTAGTTTAAGGGGGATAAACAAGACTCCATGACTTCAACGAAACGCAGGACACAGTGGCACGATCAACTTGCCGGTAGGATAACAAGTTTGATTTTAAATGAGGAGGGCCAAGAAGAATTAGAACTTCCTCGCATAGTATGTGAATATGCAGATGTATTTCCTACGAAATTACAGGGATTGCCACCAACCCGGGAGGTAGACTTTAGTGTTGAGCTACAATCTGGAACTACCCCAATATCCATGGCCCCATATCGCATGGCACCAGCAGAACTACGAGAATTAAAGACACAATTACAGGAGTTGCTCGAGAAAGGATTCATTAGGCCAAGTACTTCACCATGGGGTGCATCCGTGCTATTTGCTAAAAACAAGGATGGGTCATTAAGGCTATGCATCGATTACCGTCAACTCAATTGAGTCACGATCAAGAACCGATACCCACTCCCAAGGATTGATGACCTTTTTGATCAACTTAGAGGCTCAAGATGCTATTCAAAGATCGATCTCAGGTCAGGTTACCATAAACTATGAGTCAAAGAGGAGAATATACCAAAAACTGCCTTTTGAACCAAATATGGTCACTATGAGTTTGTAGTAATTCCCTTCGGACTAACCAATGCACCGGCAGTATTCATGAGCCTAATGAACAAGATTTTCACACCGTATCTTAACCAGTTTGTAGTAGTGTTCATTGATGACATCTTGGTATATTCAAGGTCTGAAGAAGAGCATGAGTAACATTTAAGGATTGTCCTTTAAGCTCTTAGAGACAATCGGTTATATGCCAAGGCAAGCAAATGTGAGTTTTGGTTGAATGAAGTGAAATTCTTAGGGCATGTAGTGTTTGAGAATGGGATTGCGGTGGACCCAACCAAGGTGGAAGCAGTCTTAGATTGGAGACAACTGAAAATCGTGTCAGAAATTCGCAGTTTCTTAGGATTGGCTGGGTACTACCGAAGATTCATCCAAGATTTCTCCAAACTAGCTAGACCAATGACTCGTTTGACGTAAAAAGGAGTAAAGTATGAGTGGAACGAAGCTTGTGAAAAATCCTTCCAAGAGTTAAAGAAGAGATTAACGAGCCAATTTTGACCATCCCGGAACAAGAAGTGGAGTACACTGTGTATTGCGATGCGTCTAATGAAGGGTTATGCTGCGTGCTCATACAAAATGGAAAGGTAGTCGTATATGGATCCAGGCAGTTAAAACCACATGAGCGTAACTACCCAACACATGACTTGAAATTAGCGACCGTAGTTTTTGCCCTAAAGCAATGGCGACATTACCTATATGGGGAACAATTTAAGATTTTCACAGATCACAAGAGTTTGAAGTATCTATTTACACAGAAGGACCTTAACTTGAGACAGAGACGATGGATGGAGTATCTTGAGGATTTCCAGTTCACCCTCTCATATTATCCCGGTAAAGCCAATATAGTAGCAGACGCTCTAAGTCGCAAGAGCAGAGGGATGATGGCTAAAATTTTCGTCAAAGAATGGGATATGGTTAAGACACTCAATGAATTTAGAATCCAAGTAGAATCTCAAGATACAAAGGTATACCTTGGTGCACAAAAGGTGATGCCTAAGTTGATAAGTGAGATCATGGAGGCCCAGAAGCACGATCAAGAAGAAGCCTATATCAAGGGACGTCTGGAATCAGGAGAACCAATGCTCGATTGGGTGATTCACCCCAATGGGAGTTTAAGGTATCAAGGTAGATCGTTTGTACCAAGTAACGAGTTGCTTAGAGAAAATGTACTTAAGGAATGTCATCACTCTATATTTGCAGTACATCCAGGAGGGACTAAAATGTACCAAGATTTGAAGAGGCAGTATTGGTGGAGCAGAATGAAGAAAGATGTAGCTAAATTTGTAGCAAAATGTCTAGCATGCCAACAAATGAAGGCGCAACATCAGAAATCAAGAGGAATGTTGCAACCCCTACCAATAGCCGAATGAAAGTGGGAGTGCGTGACAATGGACTTTGTGACAGGGCTGCCCAAGACACCCAGAGGGCGCGATGCTATATGGGTAATAGTGGGTCACCTCACTAAGTCAGCACATTTCTTACCCTATAAGATAATCTAAACTTTAGAGTCTATGTGCAGGCTCTACATTGGGGAAATCATTCGATTACATAGAATTCTGGTATCTATTATGTCAGATCGTGATCCACGATTCACCTCCCGATTTTAGGAAAGTCTACAAGAAGCTCTGGGTACTGAGTTATGTTTTAGCACCGCTTTTCATCCACAAACGGATGGACAATTTGAACGCACCATCCAGACACTCGAAGATATGCTGAGAGCGTGTGCAATGGATTTTCAAGGAAGTTGGGAACGACACCTACCTTTAATTGAATTCGCCTATAACAACAGCTTTCAAGCTAGTATTGGTATGGCGCCTTTTAAAGCATTATATGGACGACCTTGTAGATCGCCAATTTATTGGACGGAAATAGGTGAAGTGAGTCTAATAGGACCCGAACTTGTCATAGAGACCACTGGGAAGGTCAAATTGATCCGACAATAGTTAAAGACTGCTCAAGACCGTCAAAAGAATTATGCAGATACGAGGAGAATGCCATTGATGTTTGAAGTAGGCGACCACGTGTTCTTAAAGGTGCAACCTAGGCATGGAATTGTACGTTTTGGAAGAAGAGGGAAGCTATCACCACGATATATCGGACCTTTTAAAATACTAAAGAAGGTGGGCGAAGTGGCATATTGACTAGCACTACCCCCGCAGTTAGCCGGGATACACAACGTCTTTCATGTATCTATGTTACAGAAGTACATTGCCAATCCATCACATGTCATCAACCGGGAAGAAATCAGTCTCAACAAGGATGTTATCTTTGAAGAAGGACCTGTAGCAATACAAGATAGTCGAGAGAAGAATCTTAGGGGCAAGACGGTTCATCTAGTAAAGGTGCTTTGGCGACATCGTGGAATTGAAGAATCAACTTGGGAACGTGAAGAAGCGATGCGGACAAACTATCCCCAACTTTTTTAGCGTAGCGAGTGATTGTAATTTCGAGGACCAAATTAGTTTAAAGGGGATAGGTTGTGAGGCCCTAACTTTTTGTAATGTCCCCAAACGCTTATAGTTGAAGAATTTCAATAAGAAATCTTGTTTCTCCATTTCTTGCAAATTAAGCCCTAGAAATCAGGAGCACATGTGTGAGCTAATCAGCAAACCCTAATCAACTCTAAGAACTTAAGAAATATTTTAAAACCTTGAATTAATAATTTAGGAACCCTAAAATGAAAAATTATAAGAAAAAAACCCTAATTTTCGGTAATCGCAATTTTAGCCTGATATCTCGCCTTTTGTTGCAAATCGGCACCACGTGGCCAGAATTATTTTTCCTATCATTATTTTATTAATTATATAACTTAAACATATGTTTTATTTCAAAATTTCTGATTATACCATTTTCTTTCTTAATTATTGCATTTTGGCCCAAAACCTTAATATTTTATTCAATAAAGGTACAACCAATATTTTATTAATTTATACAAAATATCCCCTATATTTTATAAACAAAAAAATCAAATTTTCACATGGGTAAATAGGGTAGCTAGCTATAGGTGGTGAAAAGGACATAGAAGTGTATTTTTTATTCATAGCAAATCTTGTACATAAATGTAACAAATCTTTGACCATCATGGAGGAATAGGGGACATTTATTGCTATATCTTTTTTGTCTCCCAATTAACTAGTAAATAGGATTACCTTCTCTTAATCAAGATTAATTAACACAAATCTTAATTGGATCCAATTACAAACCAACCAAACTTGAATAGTTTCTATTAAAAACCAACCAAACCAAACCAACCCTTCTCTCTCCTCCTTGGCTTATAAATACAAGTCTTGCTAGCTATTGTATTTCACTCCATACACACACAACACACAACTGAGAGAGGAGGAAAGGGAGAGCAAGTGAGCTTGAGAGAAAAAGAAAAGAAAAGAGAGCAACAAGTAGGAAAAAGATCTAAAAACCAAGGTAAATCTCATACAACTCTCCTCTCAATGAATCGTCATGTTTTTCCCCTTCATAATACATGCTAAAAATATATTTCACATGATATTAAAAGTTACTACATTATTAGATGATGTATGGTTTGAAAATGAAATGTCCCTCTTCTTCCTTGCAATTTCCAGCAAGCTTTTCTCAAGGTTTTTGATTTTATTTCCATAGCAAACCTTTACCAACTCAAAATCAATTTTAAATGGGTATTAATTGACATATATAAAGTATGTGAAAATTTTGGCTAAGACCCTGGATGTGTTTTTATGACCCCTTTTATTTTTCTAAATACTTGCTGCAAAGAACCTGTTAAAACAGAGGACTTTGGAAAATTCTAGAACATTATATAAAAATGGTATCACGTTCCTTTTTACATCCAAAACTTCCTCGGAAGGTTAGCTCTTTACCAACTCAAAATCAATTTTAAAGGGGTATTAATTAACATATATAAAGTATGTGAAAATTTTGGCTAAGACCCTGGATGTGTTTTTATGACCTCTTTTATTTTTCTAAATACTTGCTGCAAAGAACCTGTTAAAACAGAGGACTTTGGAAAATTCTAGAAAATTATATAAAAATGGTATCACGTTAATTTTTACATCAAAATATTCTTCTGAAGGTTATCTTTCAAAAAAAAATTTATTTCAATGAAAATGAAAGAGTATTTTAAGAGAAACACTAAATTTTGTAACAGTTGTTAGATCTGGACAGAGTCTGTGTATTTCTTAAATATCTAAAATCAAAAAGGGCCACCCTACTTCCGTAAAATGGTTCTGAAACTAGACTTGATTCTCTACAAATCTTCTAGAAGCCACATTTCTGAAACCCTTAAAAAATATTTTTTCTATATTTATTTTTGAACTGGTGCAGTGCTGGAAATCTGAACAATGCAGTTCTTGTTGTAGTTAATGCTTTTGTTATATCATGACATATTGTTGTAATATATTTTATACTTTCATGCTTGAGTTTCACCTTGAATGGCCATATTTTGTTCTTACTTGTGCTAACCACTAATGTGTAATACACTTAATGTGAAAAGGGAAAAACTAAATGGGTTGGTAAAGAGGTTTAACGACCACACTAGTCATACATCATAAATGATGATAATGTTAAGTTGATATTAGTAGTGCATTAAAATGAGTAAGTCTTGCGCAACTGGTTGTTCGGAACCCTTGAATGGAACGGTTGTATTCGGATCCTAGTGTAACAACCCTCACCACTGTTTACTGATAATACTGCTGATTAGTGTTAATCTATGATTAAGCATGTTAATTGACTGACTGAATTACTAAACTGATTGATTGATTGTTCTAGTTTGAATGCAATTCTATCTGTTGACTGTTAAATTATCTGTTCATGTTTTATGCTTTAAACTGCAAATTGAAGGTCTTATCGGTGGCCGAATCTGAAATTGATTAATGTTTTACGCTAATTGGGATTTATGTGATTTTATGGCATATTTAATTGAAATGTGATTTGGTATGATTAAATTAGATTTAATAAAGCTAAATTACAAGAGTTGGACTTAATTGCCATTTTGCCATTAGTGGGCTTTGCTAGACAATTGTTTAGTCTTGACTTATCTATGCTATACATCATCCTTGTTCATTTGTGAGAGACCAAAACCGACTTGAGTGAGAGAGTGGGAGAAATTGGGTTCAACTTGAAGGTTTTGCTTGGAAATTATAGGAATTGAAGAGTAATTTGCTTAATTGAGCTCCCTTATCTTGCATTCAAGACTTGAGGTAGGAGATTCATCCTCTCATTTGTGTATTTGAGTTGTTCTAGCATGGTCCATGGTGACATTAGTGAGTCAAAGTCTAGAATTGGTTAAGATTGTTGAATTAAGTTGTAATTCATGCATGCATGTACATATTGTGAGGTTTTGAGGTTGTAGTTCATAAATTCCTCACATGCATGTCCATATCTTAAGTATAGTTCATGAATTCATCTTATTTTTGAGGTAATGAGCTCATTTGAGCATGTATTTGAAGCCTTGAATTTATTGAACACATGCATGTAAAGTTCTTATTTCATTCATAAAGTTTTGTTTGAAATTGAGTTGAATTGACTCACCTTTGGGCCTTGATTTTACAAATTGAGCTTTGAATCATGTTATATTATGAGTTTTAAAGTGTTTTCCAGAAAATTAGCCCAAAAGATCGAATTTGGTATATTGAAACTTGATTTTGAGCTTGAGGTTCAAATCTGGAAATTCTAGATTTTGAGCGGGGAAAGTGGCGCTCGAGCGGGAAATTCGTGTATCCAGCACTTTTGTTGTGTTTACAGTCCGCTCGAGCGGGGTTTTGCACGCTTGAGTGAGGACTTGTGTCACACGCTCGAGCGGGTGTCGAGCGCCCATCGAGCGTGATTTTCACACATCCAGTACTTTTGTAGTCCGCTCGAGCGGGAAAGTTTAAGCTCGAGCGGAAACTTTTGTTTGCATGTTCGCTCGAGCGGGGAAACCCACGCTCGAGCGGGACCTCTGTTTTCTGAAAATTTTGAAAATATTTTTAAAGTGCATCTTTGCATCTTCATTCCATTCTAAGCATTCTTAGGCCTAGTTTAAGACATCTTAATGAGGATATTAATGTAGAACCACACCGAGTCAAGATAGAGATTAAGTTATTATTTCCCAACTATGTAGCTTAGTGTGTGTTCACTCTTTGACTGTGTAGGGTTGGCATCCGAGGACGTGTACTAGCTTATCTGTAGTCCAGAACTCTGTGAGTAACAATGTTGTAAAGATATGTTCAATTGAGATTATTTTCTGAACAAATGACCGTACTGCTTTACGAAATGACACTGTTTACTGAATGAATGTTTGTCCAATTTGTGAACTGTATTCGTGGCATCCATAGCAATATACTGTTACTGCTACTGTTACAGAGATCTCTGTCAGTTCCCATGTTTGGAACTATTACTGATGGCCATCATTGACTGCTCGGTCTGTTAAGACCTACTATACTGCTTTGCTATTGGATGTACCACATATGACTATTATAGTTTCTGAATGACTGTTATGGCATGAATTATGAGCCAAAAACTGAATGACTAATATACTGTTTAAATAACAGTTTTCAATACTGAAAGGACATTCATTCTTAACCTCTTTACGCATATGTTATTCATTGGGCTTTAGCTCACTACTCATATATATATGTAGGTGTTCAGGCACCGGACCGTTGCTAGGGGCGTCAAGCTTAACTCCTGTTTTGTCAAGCCAACCTTTGTGCCTTACTTTGAGGTTCCATAACTGTTCAAGCTGAGGCTGCTTGGGGTGTTTTAGTTTTCCGCCTCTTTGTTTATGTTCTGTATAGACTGAATGATGTTGTACTGTACTGTTCTATTAGGGATTAAGTCTCTGTCCTGAATGATTGTATATATTGTACATACTGTTTTGGTACTGATTGTATATGTGTCTCGAAAAGTCTTTTTGCATACAGACCGTCACAGCTCATTGGACATCTTTTAATTACTATTTTGGCTTCCGCCAGTCCCTGTACTCTGTATTTCTGTTTGACTGTTAAGCAGGCCTTCGATAATCTCGGATTACTGGCCAGTTACGGTGCTAAACCCATAGGGGCGGGTTTGGGTCGTGACACCTAGGTAGTTCGGTGTAAGGAGGGGTTTGGGCTAGGCCCATCATTACCGTCTCTTTTGAGGCCCTCGGTTGGCGCTACGCGGTATATAACCGTTAGTAGGCATCTGAGGTAAGGTCTGCAACAAAGCAACAAAAGAGGGGGCATACCAAATAATCCGCTAATTCTTGGAGTTGGGAGAACGAAATCTCTTTGGGGAATTTCTAGACTACTAACAATTGACCATATAATCTGTGCTATGAACTTAAATGCCATGATCTTTTCCTTTGTCTTTTTTGTAAATGTTGTTGTGTATTGGACTGGGAAAAAGAAATGGGGCGTGTGTGCGTTTACTGGGCATTCAAAGCTCACGGCGTATCATGTCAGGTGCTGAAGAGGAG